TTGTTTGGATTGACCATAGAAAAGAGGAATGTTAATGGTCTATGGTCTGTTCTAACTAGGAAATGTCGCCCATAAACGAAAGGTCTAAAATGGTTAATTGCCCAATGTATGGCTAATAGTTCTTGTTCCGTTGTGTTATTATTGGGTTCTCCTTTAGTAAGTGATCTCGATGCGTAAGATACAGGAAGCTGTAGGCCATTATGTTCTTGTGTAAGGACTGCTCCGCAAGCTTGTTTACTTGCGTCCGTGATAATGCAAAATTCTTTAGAAAAATCGGGGTAATGAAGTAATGTTAGACTCATTAATTTTTTCTTTAAGTAATCAAAAGCATTTTGGTACTCTGGTGTCCATTCAAATTTAACATCTTTTTTGCATAATTTAGTTGCGTGACGGGAATAATCTGCGATGTTTTTAATGAATCGACGATAATAATTGTAAAATGCAATAAATCTTCGAGCGCTATCAGCGTCCGTAGGGACTTGGTATTTTTCAATGACTTCATATTTTTGGTCATCTGGCATTATAAGGCAAGAAAGGTCACTTCATTTATGAAAAATGAGCAATTCTCCGTATGTAGTTTAAGATTATTTTTTAGCAAAGGTCAAAGACGTTTGTTAAGTTTTTCAGCATATGATTTTATGAACATCCTATAACTATTAGGTGGTCCATGTAGAGGAATGCCTGGGATGGCTCCAAAAAATATGCGATTGTCATCATACGCTGAAAAGAATTTGCGGCTATTTTCAAACCATAAGGTAAGGTAAAACGATAAGAGCCATTGCTCGTTGAAAATTAAGTTATATTTCTGGATGATTCGTCAATTTGGTGGAATCCGGACATAAGATCTAAACAAGAGAAATATTTTGCTCGGCCCAATTAATCGAGTATATCATCGATTTTAGGTAGTGGAAATCTATCTGCTAAAAGATTTTTATTAATTTGACGAAAATCAATTACTAAACGCGATCTTTTCTACTTTGAGTCAGGTAATGATTTTTTTGGAACAAGTAACAGAGGGCTATTATATTCTGATATTGAAGGTTTACGATTTTATCTTTTATAAGTTTGTCCACTTCCTTAGTAATTTTCTATAGTTTTTTTTATACACGTATTCATCATCTTTTACTCTTAATTTTTGCTTGTAGAAATTATTAGTAGATATCGATTCGGTTTCAAGACCGAATAGGTCACTATATTTTGAACAAAGATTTGTTAAGACATTTTAATATTGATTCGGAAAATTTTGTTTTAGTTTATTAATGATTTTAATACCCTTACAGAGGGTATTATAATTTCAGTAAAAAGTTGGCATTTTCTATGGGTGTTATATTTGGCCAGCCAATCCGACCTACCAAATTTCATAAGGATCGGCCGACTATATCCTATAGCTGCCATATAACTGAACGATTGGAAATGTCATAACTTAGGTGTTTTTAAAGTTAGGAAGTTGGGATTTTTTATGAGTATTAAGAATGCATCATATGAATAATTTTGGAGAATATAATTTACAGAGTATTCTGCAAGGGTATATCAACTTCGGCTCCCGTAGTTAGCTTTCCTTTCTTGTTTTTTTTAATTTTTATGTTCTGGTTACTGATTTTACATTTTTTTTACCGTGCTGGTACCGGGCACCGGGTGGTGCCGGTGCTGGTCCTCGCACTGGCTATTCTCATTAGATGATTTTTTCGTACTTATTATTTTTTATTATTAATTTTATTGTTTTGTAACAGTGCTATTATTTTTTTTTTTTTTGATTATTTTATATATATTTTCTGTTCCGGTGCATTACTTTTTGCCTTTTACTTTGGACTATTTAACATAAATCCATGTCACGGTCGCCATGTTATGATGACATTAATGTTTCACAGTTTTTTATTTATTAATAAAACGCACTGGTTATATTTTATATATTAATATATGTTTATTCAATTACTGGTTTAGTTCACAGTTGTCTCTAGACTGCTAGCCTATATTCTTGGCTTAGCTTAGCTCTATGCTGCACAGTCGGCGCTGTCGTTCAAGCCGGCAGCGACGCAACAGCCTTATATGTTAGCTTATGTTTATCTCTGAGAGCGGTGCCCAGAGAGAGGGAATGGAATGTTATGTGCATACATGGATATATTTGTTGCAGTCGCCAAGCTTTGGGAATAAGCTGGCGCGACTTATCACTCGCTGAAGGCGTGTGTGGTCAAATTTAATTACGTTTGCACTTGAAGAGTGCCGATGGACTGAACTCCTCGAGTTCAATGATTAATAATAAAACCTCGGCTTAAGAGATTTATCTCAAAAAATTGATAAAGAGAATGACTCAAGAGAGTCGGAAAATAGGATGATGCAATTTACCAATTAAATTTTAAATCTAAATTTGGCCGAAAATTGGTGTTTACATTAGCGGACTTTAGGGATCGCTTTGGAAATCTTTTGTTTGCGTTAGCGGACTCGGGATCGCTTTGGGGCTCCGATGTTTACAATATTTTTTTATTTTATGGTTATAATTTTGCTTTATGGTTTGATTTCTATATGAATTTGCCATGGTTTGAATATTAAAAATTTTCTGTATTTGATTATAACCATATTAATTAAATATACAACAGTAAATATGATTAATATTAACGTAACTGGTATTTGAGTTTGTTTAATTAGAATAAAAGGATTTAGTATGTTAATATTATCAAATGAGAGTTCCGAATCATTGGATATAATATATTTGGATAGTAAAAAATCTGTATATTTTCGAGCGGTGATGTATTCCAATATCTTATTGTCTACATGGGTGTAAGATATATTATTAATTTTAGAGGTGCCATTAAAGGTTATTAAATATGACCCATTTAAATAAGTGTCATTAACTATATTTTGTCCATTTACAAAAATGGCTCCATCTTGGATTACATCTATATTTTTATTTTTTCTCGGATTTTGTTGATTAATTTTTCCCCATTTAGTAATCTTGTAAAACAAGAACCTTCAGGGTTAAGTGTGCAATAATTATTGAACATTTCTGTCTTAAAAATTGAGTTGTAAATTTTACAACGATCGGTAATAATAGGCTATTTTATGTAAATTATAATAAGATCTTGGTGCAAAGCGATTTTAGATTCAGATATATCTAATAGGTCTGTTATAATTACAGGTCTACTTTCGTGTTTATAAATTTCTTGTATATCATTATTATTTAGAATTTTAGTATTAAATACATCAATTTTTGCGAGTGAAATTCTGTCCATTAAATTCATAAGATCGTAAAGCCTAGTATCCTGATCGACAAACGATTATGCTAGCGTAAAAACTTTAACCTTTCCAGTGCGACCAAAGTTTCGAGAGTTCATCCGAACTGAGCTTACTACGGTCTTACTGTCAATCAGCTGGGATTGTTGACAAAAAAGCAAACAAAGTTAAATGAAACGAAAATGGCGAGTTCAAAAAACACAAGCGGCATGTATTGTAGCATTAGAGGAAGAGGTCAAAAGACAGCGGCCGATATATTGGGTGAGCCCATATCTGCAGGAAAGGGCCCTTAAAGGCCGATATGCTTCGGACGTAAGTAATACTGTTCAATAATGTATTAATATTCGTGCACTAAAAAATATTTTCTTATCATTTTAAAGTTTCAAAGCTTGTTGCAGACTCCCTCAATGTTTTTCGAAAACTTCCATTTTTGGAATGGTGGAGCAGTACCTTATACCGAAACGGAACACTCGCCCAGATGCTATATTAATAAAAGCCAAGTTGGCCATCGTTTTAGAGTAATTAGATTTTAAATATTCTTAGATAACAATATATTTATATTTTGTATCCTTTTATTTAGATTTCTTGCCTCTGCAGACCTGCAACGCCACATTGGATCAACTTATCGGATCAGAAAGCAACATTTTGGAGTGATTCTCCTCCAGGTGTCTATTGTCATTTGGACTGCTTCGAAGACGAATGGAACTAAATGCATTGGAGCAGTCGACGGAAAGCATGTGGCGATAAAAGGGCCGCCAAATAGCGGAAGCCTTTTTTACAATTATAAGGTAGGTACTTTTTAAATGCCAATAGAATTTAATAACAAAATCGTAATGTAGGGCTTTCATTCGATTGTGCTTATGGCAATCTGCAACGCTCACTATCGCTTCACCTACATTGATGTGGGGGCTTTTGGTAGCGAAGGAGACATGAATGCCTTCTCCCATAGCGATCTTGGCAAACAGTTGCTCTTAGACCAGCTGCCCTTTCCGGAGTACAATGTTATAAACGGCCATCGAACCCCTTATTACATTGTTGGTAATGATGCATTCCCCCTTCATAAGCGCATCATGAAGCCGTATAGTGGCACGGATCTGCATAGGGAGGAGCGGATTTTTAACTACAGGCTAAGTCGGACTCGTCGTTGCATTGAGAACGCATTTGGGATTCTCAGCGCTAGGTGGATGGCTGTACAACGAACTTTGTTAAGAAATCCATGCAAAGCTCAAGAAGAATATTTAAACGGAAGTGCTGGATATTCTCAAGTACCTTGGCAAGTCTGCCGGTGTGCAAAGAAATTAAAAAAACAATAAAAGTTATTTTGCAATGTTAAATTTGTTTTCTTTTTATTGAATTATTGACTGGCGTCTTTCTCCTCCCACAGAAGCCAGGTCATCTTCCTTTCGCCTTCGGCAGCACGTTCCGGAGGAAACGTGCTTAGAATCGACTCCCAGTAGGCATATACCGGCCTTGGAGGAGTGGGAAGGGGAGCCTTTTGTTGTTGCTCCAGAAAGTTGCACAGCATGTCGCACATTTTGGCTGCTGGTGTTTCCTCCACCTTTCGCTTCTTGGCGGTCCTTCTTCTTCCACCCTTTGAAAGTATAGGAATATTTTATAAGAAATTATATTATTTAATAGAAATTGGGCAACTTACATGGGAATACAATTCCTTTTGGACCTCAGACAGCCCGACCTCCAGCTCCGCTTCCGCTTCCAAAAAGCCAACTTCGATAGGGTCTTGAGTTTCCTCCATGGAGTAGTCCATTGCTTGGGCTCCGTCGCTCTCCGAAAACACAGATTGGGTTGTTCTGTTAAAAATATATTATATTAGTATAATGTAAAAAAATTTTTGGCCAGAACCTACTGCCTCTGCGTGGATAAGTCCGGCAGGAAGCCCATGTAGGGAGCGAAATCCCACTCTGCAGCACCTGTTGGCTTCTCCAGTGGGTCTCCTCCAGCACTTCCACTCTTTGGCTGCTTGCACTTGTGTTACTTGTAGCTGTCCCGTAGAGACTTCCACGCCAGCTTGCAACTATTATCTAAACATAAATATTGTATATGTCCACGTTAACAAATATTTAGTAATGTACAATTATAACTTACCATCTTTGTCCATTTCCCAGGCTATTTCCTCCCACGATCTTTTTATGAATGTTGCATTAAAATGCTTTTTATTGGAAAGGTCCCACAATTCTGGGCGCGACTCCATGCATCGTATCAATGCTATTTTTTCCTCACTATTGAACTCCAGCAACCGACTTTTCCGGGTTTTCTGATTTTTTCCCTCCATTTTTTTAAATTTTCGACAAAAGATTACATTTTTTATTCTTTTTGCCAGGGTTCACCCAAAGTTCATTTCAGGGTGTTGGCAACGCGATGCAATTCTGGTATTTTTTTCGTCGAACTGGAGACCTAAGTCAAAAAAAAGCTTCACGAAAAGTGAACGCCAGCTGTTTGCCTCTCGCTCTCTCTCACGACTGGCGTACGGTTTTCGTCGATCAGGATACTAGGCCTAAGAAAGCAAGCGCAGACGATATTTTCTGAGTGGAACTTCTTGATCCTTAAAGACTGTTTTGAATTCCTCAGATAAAGATTTTATTTCTTTAAATATTTTAGAATTCATAACAAATTGATCGTTATTATTTTGTATTAAATCATCTATTTTATTTTGGACTGTTATGAAATCATCATGATCTGGTGTTCCGCGCTATCCATTTCCAAATGGTGCCTAATTCATTAATGCCTCTTTTCGATCTACTGGGTATTATTTGAGAGATAAGTATTTTTTTTATAATTTTTAAATCGTGGTATATTTCCCAAAGAAAATTCTTGCTGTTATGATTCTTTAGAAATTCTGCTTCAATATTAATTATATCTCTATAAAAACTTATATTAGTTATATGAAATAAGTCTGCGCATGATTCATAAATAAGAACATCTTTGGTATCCTTGTAAAGAAGAAAATCGTGGTTCGTGTAATCCAATATTTCGGATTTGGTTGTACCTACCAGCAATAATAAGTACATTATTGAAAACATTATCTGGAATTTGAAACAAATTATTTTATATTATCATTATGAATCGTACGGTTTCTCTTATTTATAATAAATCTATTAGGGAGATTTTCCTTAACTACTTGTTATTTATATCTAGTTAAGCTTGTTTCTTTCCCCGTGTTTATTTTCGTAAATTACCTCTCCTACTTGATAATTCTTATTTTGTCTATCTTATTGTAAAAATGCAACGATTTCTCTTGAGCTTGTTGCAGTAATTTGGGAGTTTCCTTATTATTTTTATTAAATTATTAAATTATTTAAATATTATTAAATAATATATCAAAAGGTCGTTGATTGGTTATTGAGTGAATTGGTAAATTATATTTTTGGGCTGCTCTAATTATGATTTCGGAATAATCATTTAAATTAAGTTCATCTTTAATGGAGCGAGCAATTTCTGTTAAGGTAGAGTGTGCCCTTTCTATTTGTCCGTTGGACGTACTATGTCGTGGATCTGCAAAGTATAATGATATCCCATTTCTTTGTGCAAAGGATTTAAATTGGGATGAAGAAAAACTTGGTTCGTTATCTATCATCAAAGTTTTGGCTAATATGGACATTGTTGTAAAATTTCTGAAACTTTATTTTCTATATTTAGTTTATTAGGAATTTCTTTTACTACTAAGTATTTGGAATAAGAATCTATACAAGTAATGAATATAAGATTTTGGGCGTAATATATTTTGTATTTTATAAAAATCTTCTAGAGTACAGTGAACTCCTATTGTTATATTGGGTGGAATGAATTCTCTTAAGATGGATACTAAATTTTCAGGAGTGTCATACTCTATTATGTGTCTAGTATTTCCGAATACATTAATCGACTCATGTATTGTATACCTCCCCGTTGCTATTAGCAATTGTTGCTTAAACTGGTTTAAGGGTTTTCGGGTTTCTTGTATAACATTCTCAAAACTACTCTCTGCTGAATGCTGAGTATTTTGATCTGAAACCGATTCATTACTTTCCGTTAGGTTATTTATTTGGATCCTTGATAAGGCGTCCGCAACAACATTTGTTGCTCCAGGCTTATAAATAATTTTGTGTGAATAGCTTTCAATAAAGGAATACCATCTTTTCATTTCGATATTTGGATTTTTTTGAGAAATGGAGAACGAAAGAGGTTGATGATCGGTATAGATCTCGATGTCGTTAACCCCATATAAGTAATTTCGAAGATTTTTAAAAACCCATTCTTTTTTATTTGTTGCTTATAATTGTTCAGTTTTGGTTAGAGTTCTGAAATTGGTTTTCCTTCCTGAGAAAGAAAAGCACCAATAGCTAAGTCAGACGCATCGGTTGTTAGGGTACATTTTTTATTATAATCTGGTTGTACTAGTTCTACCTGTGCAATTAAATTTTCTTTAAGCTCGTTAAAAGCTCTTACAGCTGAATCATCAAGCTGTGTTAAAGTTTTACGTGATGTTTTTTTTAAATACCTTGCCAATTTGTTCTTCTAAATATTTTGTTAAAGGTTTAGCTATCTTTGCGTAATTTTGCACAAATATTCTCTCGAATATTTTTAGGGATCGGATATTTTACAATTGTAAAAATTTTTTCGGGATCGGTTTTGATCACATTGTGAGAAACAACGTAACCTAGAAAGTTTGTTTCTAATTTAAAGAACTTTTATTTTTCAATCGAAATTTTCATGTTTGCGTTTAGCAAAATTTTTATAAAGACAATTAAATCTTTGTAATGTTGTTCAACTGTTTTTGAAAAAATAATAATGTCATCCATATAAACATGACATGTTTTACCCACTTGTTCTCTTAAAATCTCATCCATCGCTCGCTGGAATATTCTAGGAGCGTTTGTCAAATCGAAAGGCGTTCTTAGGAATTCGTATTTCCCATTGTTTATTGAAAATGAGGTTTTCTGTATGTCTGGTTCACTCATGAGAATCTGATGAAATCCAGATTCCAAGTCAATTGTTGAGAAATATTTGGCTTTTCCAAGATTTGATAAAATCACTGAAGGGTCCTGCATTGGATATCTATCCAGTATAGTATTTTCGTTAAGTTTTTTATAATCTATTACGAGTCTGAGCTTTGGAGTTCCATCTTCATTGAAACTCTTTTTTGGAACCACTAGTACAGGTGAATTATATGGACTTCTACTTGACCTTATAATTTCTTCTTTTAGCATTCGACTTATTTCAGAATTTACAAAATCTGAAGCTTATAGAGCATAATGGTATTGTTTACTGTAAATGGCCCTATCATTTACGGTGTTTATTTCACCGCGTATATCTCTCCTAAAAGGAATCTGCATATTTATTTTCGAATGTTCTTCATTGATAATATTTAATATTTCGTTCTCCAAATCTTTTCTTTGATCTGCAGATGATATTTTTATGTTGTTTAATTTTTTATTGTCGGATTTTTCAACGACGGCGTGTTCAGGATTTTTAATTCCCAAACTTTTATTTTTGTCGGATTTTTCAACGACGGCGTGTTCAGGATTTTTAATTCCGAAACTTTTATTTTTGTCGGATTTTTCAACGACGGCGTGTTCAGGATTTTTAATTCCGAAACTTTTATTTTTGTCGGATTTTTCAACGACGGCGTGTTCAGGATTTCTATATCCCAAACTAAATTCGCTGTGATTACCCATTTCAGATTCGGATCTGATTTGAGTCTTTTCATCAAAGTATTTTTTAATATAAATTCTTTTAATGGAAGAATAATGTTTTCTTCTGTTAAAGAAAGTTGGTTTAAGATTTTTCCGTTATCATAATTTAATTTTTCTTCTTTTCCATTATATTTGTTGGGGCGGGTCCGTGCCAAGAACAATTCCAGAGTTTTTCCCGAAGAAATATATGCAAATGCGGGGTTGTGTGGAGCTTCGTTTTCACATGTGATTCGTTTCACCTTTTATTTCGTAATGACTTCAATATATATCGTAAGTTTAGTCTAAGAGGCCACCGATTCGGTTGCCAGTGATGCCGAACCAGCGATCTTTCTTCTTGTTCGACATGAACATTCTCCCCCCTCGCAATGGGGAGAGTGGCAGGTTACGAAAGGGAACAAGTGCCTGAAAGGAGCCACCCCAATGCTGAGTTTTGCGCCATGGACAGTCCGTTTTGACTTGGGAGGATTGGCAGAACATTCTCCCCCCTCGCAATGGGGAGAGTGGCAGGTTACGAAAGGGAACAAGTGCCTGAAAGGAGCCACCCCAATGCTGAGTTTTTCGCCATGGACAGTCCGTTTTGACTTGGGAGGATTGGCAGAATTAATTCCCCGTATACGTCAGCCCCCAAAACGGCAGACACTAGGGAAGGGTAGAACCATCTATCATCAGGCAAAGTGATGTTTGGGAAGGCATCCCGGACCTTCGGATCCAGGGGCTTGGCCGGAGTTCGGGTCTGCATCTGGTCATCAACCAGCATTAGCAGCTTCGGGTCATCTTCGACGACTTTGAGCGGATTTCGGTGGTGCACACCCGCTCATCGCCCACGCGGGTGACGGAAAGGTTGAGGGCCTTTGTCAAGGAAACGTGAATGCGACTCACGGGGCAGCAAGGATCCACCAAAGCTCGGACGTCAAACCGTTTCTCCTCAGACCCCACCAAAATGGATACTCATGCGCTGCAGGATAGCGGCAGGGCTTCGGGTCGGGGAGATCTCCTTCGGTGACGATGAGCGCAACGACGTCGTCTACGACGTTCTCGTCTGCTGCCGTCGGTCTTGGGGTCGTGACGAGCGTGCCAATGTGGACTCTTGGAAGTGCAAGAGGGTGTGGTGATTTCCACTGCAGACGTGGCACTTGGCATTACTGCGGCAGGATTGACCCGAATGCTCGTGAGCAAGGCAGTTCGCACAGTACTGATTAATGAGGACCGCGCGGAGCCGCTTCACCGCCGGGAGCCGAAGGAACCGTTGGCATTTCCTCAGCGCGTGCACCCCTCGGCAAACTCGGCACCTGTACCCGTTGGTTGCGCGTGGCCGAGCGTGCTGGATTGTAGTTGGCGCCATCGTGAACAATCTGTGGAAGCCAGTAAACAAAGGTTAAAGGTTATGGATGATGCGAATGATCGTGACATGTATGAGGACTGACGACACAGAATGACATGAGTTTAGGACTAGTAGGATTGGCTGTTAGTCGCTAACTCAGGAAAAAAGGGAAAAGGCAGAATCACTCGGAGCAGGAGGCCTCCATCGGAAGGCGGATTATCTTTGCGATTGGTCATCGGATAATGCCACGTGCGGTAAGAACATCTGCCACTCGGGTCTTGCCATCCGCGCCTGGGCACACCAGTTGGATCCGCCCAAGCCGCCATTCATTTGGTGGTAAATTTTCCTCATTTAGCACCACCATGTCCCCCGTCTGAATGTCTGGCGTTGGAAATTGCCATTTAGTCCTTTTATCGAGCTCCTTTAGGTACTCTTCTCTCCAACATAAGCAAAATTGCTGATGCAGGGCCTTTGGCCGCTGCCATCGGTTTAAAATGGAAATCGGGTTTTCTTTAATCTCGGGCTCAGTCACGGAAAGGAGTTGCCCACCGACTAGGAAGTGTCCGGGGCTAAGAGCTACGAGGTCTGTGGGGTCTTCGGACATTGGAGAAATGGGCCTCGAGTTTAAACAGGCCTTTCGATAGGAGGGTAACTAACTCTTCAAAGCTGTACTTCCCGCCAGCTGTTTGCTTGTAGAAGTGTGTCTTAAAGCTTTTGACACCGGCCTCCCATAGCGCTCCCATATGAGGCGCGCCAGGAGGGTTGAAGTGCCAGGTCACATTTTGAAGACTGTACTTGGACAGGATCAAAGACCTCGTAGCTTCAATGAAATCCTTGGATAAGGACGTGGAGGCTCCAACAAACGTTTTCCCGTTGTCAGAGTATATGTGGTGCGGACAGCCACGTCGTGCGGAGAAACGCGAGAAGGCTGCCAGAAACTTTGAGTTTAGATGGATGGCTCGGGTACTAAAACACACAAAAACGCAGACATACCCCTTATACCCACCGACATAGTTTTTTATATCAAATGGACCCGCAAAGTCAACGCCCGTGTGGGTAAAAGCCCTGGAAAATGTAGATCTTGCGCAGGGCAAGTCTCCCATCAGCTGAGTTTGCAGCTTCTGTCTGTGAATGGTGCACACTCGACAGGAATGAATGGTGTCTTTTACAAGATTTCTCAGCTTTATCCATATATCCCCGTGCAAGGATATGCGATGGGTAAAGAGGGCCAAAAGTTTGGCAAAAGTGCACCTTGCCGGAATGATGCTTGGATGTTTCTCATCATAGCTTAGCATCTCAGATGCTCGTAGACGACCGCTGGCTCTTAAGACACCGTGGCTGTCGATAAAGGGGTTTAGATTGGAGATCGTGCTGGAGACTGGAATATGTTGCTTTTTGCCTAAGGCCTTGTATTCTATTGGATACTCATTGAGTTGGGTGAGCACAATCAGCCTCTCTTGGACATCAGACAACTCTGCGGCAGTGAGTTCTGCCTTAATGTTTACGTTTTGCTTGCGACACATTCTTGCAAACCAGAATACGTAAGCGAGAACGCGTAAAGCCCTCTCGAATGCCGAAAAACGCTCCAGAATGTCATTTTTCGGGGGCGCTGTGGCGACGTTACACCTTATTGGGCGCTTTTCGAGCTCGATTTCGAGCGGGACCGACGAATTGAGTGGCCACTGCTCCTGGTTGTGACGCAGCCACTCAGGTCCATGCCACCAGAGGTTGCTGTCCTTGAGCTCATGGACTGAGACGCCCCTGCTTGCCAGTTCAGCTGGGTTATCTTCCGATTTCACATGAAACCACTGTTCTCTGTTGGTGAGCTAATCAACTTTCGCGACTCTGTTGGCAACGAATGTAGTCCAAGTGCATGCTGGCTTGCTTAGCCATGCAAGCACTATCGTGGAGTCTGTCCAATAATATGTATCATACTGAGTAGGAGTCATTTCGGAGAGAACTGCTGCGGCGAGTTCGGAGAGAAGCACCGCACCGCACAGCTCTAATCGCGGTATAGAAAGGGACTTTACTGGAGCAACTCGGGTTTTGGACAAAAGCAAGTGGGTGAAGCAGCCATCAGTCGTTTCGACGCGAACAAAGATGGCAGCACCATAGGCGCTCTGCAATGCATCGCAAAACCCGTGGAACTGCAGTTTTGCTGCTGGATGAAATCTAACCCATCTTGGGATGCGAACTTCTTTCAAAGTCTGATACCCCTCAAGAAAATTACGCCACTTTGTGACAAGATCAGTCGGAAGGGGCTGGTCCCAGCTTAACTCCCGCAACCAAATTTCTTGCAAGAGCTTTTTTTCCCGAACAATAAATGGCGATAACCATCCTGCTGGGTCAAACAGTTTGGCTATCTGGGATAAAACCTCTCGTTTGGTGTAGGTTGTTTGGAGAGAAATATCCATCGGCAGGAAGAGGAAACTGTCCGATGTCGCATGCCAACGGATTCCCAGAGTTTTTGAAATACTGGCGTCTTCCAACTCCAGAAAGTCGGCCCTAATCAAGTGTTCCTTTGGAATGCCCTGTAAAAGTTTCTTCTCGTTTGAGGTCCACTTGCGCAGTGGAAAGCCCGCGCTCTCTAGGGCACCGCGGAGCTCTTTGATGGCTGAAACAGCGGACTGCTGCGTGTGGGTGCCGGCTAAAACATCATCGACATACATAAATCTAGAAATTATGTCACTTGCCAAAGGATATTGGTCACGTACATCGTGAACCAGTTGTTGAAGCACGCGTATGGCAAAAAAGTGGCACAGTTAACGCCGAAAGTGACAGTGTTCAGCTCATAATCACAGAGTTTTCCCTCTTTATCGCGGAACAGGATTCTTTGGAAACGTGTATGATCGGAATGGACGAGAATCTGCCGATACATCTTAGTGATGTCAGCATTGAAGACGTATTTAAAAACGCCATTTGAGGATCTGGATGGTCAAATCAGATTGCAGTACCGAAGTATGAAGGATATCATTTAGGCTGTACCCGTTTGACGATTTATTGGAGGCGTTAAACACCACGCGAACCTTTGTGGTGGTACTGTCTGGCTTGAAAACCGCGTGGTGTGGCAAGTAAAAATTGCTGGAGTCGTCATTTGGAGAGACTTTGTGCATATGACCCAAATCTAAATATTCCTGAATAACTGAGTTATACTGCTCTCTCAAAGGAGCGTTTTTATTCAGCCGTACTTCATTCCTAAGGAATTGCGCCAGTGCGGTGGACCATGAATGCCCCATGTTTATTTTGTTAGGTTCTTTAAAGGGCAAAGAAACAACATACCATCCTTCTTTACCCCTTGTGGTGGTTTGCTGGAAATTATTTTCACACACCGAGCTGGATTCCTTACCCGGCTTCACTGGAACATCCTCTACCTCCAAGAACTTGGTGACGATACCGTCTAGTTGAGATTCGGTGACAGACAACCGTGCTGAGAAGGAAGATATTCTGTTAGTGGGATTCTTCGCAATTGGGCCGCAAATAATCCACCCGAATATGGTCTCTTGGCCAAGGAGTGTTCCGAAAACATTTGAATGGAAGCCGCCTAAAATGATCGACGGAAGGATATCGGCGCCTATGAGCACGTCAATTTTTGAACTCTGGTAGAAATTCGGATCTGCTAATTGGATGGGAGGAAGGTCCCTCAACGACCCTTCGGGTATCGTATAGGATGGAAGATTTCCGGCTAAATGCGGTAGCACATATGCAGACGCTTCGCTTTGGATTTGTGGCTTAATGGGGGAGCCTATATGGAATTGGCAGCGCTTACGTGGTTGAGCAACAGTTTGATTTACTCCCGAAACTTGAGCTTGTATGGATTCGTAGGGGAACTTAATTAGGTTGAATAACCGTTCTGAAATAAAGGTCGCCTCGGATCCGGAGTCATGAGCGCCTTACTCAGGATGACCCCTTGCGTGTTCACGGCGATGTACGTTTAGACGTTCGACGGAGTGGACTGTATTTCTGGCTGGAGGTCAGGTTCGGATGCTGACTGGAGTTGTGGAGCGCCGCCGCGATGGAGGAGAGTATTGTGGCGACCTTTGCACGTGTAGCAATTATGCGTACTCGTGCAGTCTCTCAACATGTGGCTTCTTACAAAACAGTTCAGACAGAGTTTCTGTTGTTTAATACACTGTTCCCTGCCGACAACAGACATATTTAAAAACTGGGGACACAGACGGATCGGATAGTTCTCCCTTGGACAAAGTTTACACGACTGTGGATTTACGGTGACCCTATTTTCAAAGTTATGGATAATTGGATTGAGTGGTCAAAGTAGTTTTAAATTCTTCAATTGCCTCCAGGGTTCGATGACGACCTTGTAAGAAGGTCTTGAATTTTTCCCACCCTGGAATCTCGGATGGGTTGAGGAGGGACTGTTCCCACAGAGCCAACGTCAGCTTCGTCAGCTTTGAGGAGCACAGGAAGACGAGAAGATAGTCCCAGTTTGTTATGTCTACTTTTGCTATTTTCAGGGCTGTCAAACAGCCTTGGACAGTGCTCTTCAGGTGCTTAAGGGAATTGCCACACTCTTGGGAATGAGTGGGGAGATTAAATAGGATCTTTAGCTACCTGTCGACGAGCAGTCGCTTGGTTTCGAAACGAGTCTGCAGATATTCCCATGCGGGCGCAACACCTTCGTTAGTCAATGGTGATAATGTCACAATAGACTTTGCTTCTCCACTCGTTTTCGAGTTGAGGTGGAACAACTTTTCAACGCCTGAAAGCCTCGGATTTTGGACATAGATGGCGGAAAAAAGGTCTCGAAACGTCGGCCAATGAACATATTCGCCACTGAACATTTCACAGTCTATTGGAGGGACGCGGCATCCACTAGGCAGAGGCACCGGTGTGGGCGGTTCATGAATTGGTTGAACGCTAGCTCTTTCAATCGTTTCGTTTAGTGTTGCAGCGCATCTTTCAAAGACTTCCATTGTGTCTGTACTATTTACTAAGGAAAGATCCTCAGAGCACGTCTCGTACTCTTTCTCTACCTTGTCCCAAAGAGCTTGTATCTGCTGAAGTCTGACCTTGTTAGTGTGAACAGACGGAGGTGGGTCTGTTGGGATGTTGACCCTGGCTTCGAACTGACTGACCCTATCGGTCACAGCCACAAACTTTGTCAAGGCAGTTTTAGCTTCACCGTCAGCCATTTTCGCAGTTGATCTCGTGACTTGTAGGGACAAAACTGACTGTGACGCAGTTGTTTTCACGGTTTTTAAAGGGGTTAAGGACTTTTCGCTTGTTGTCCTGGAAGTATGGCTGATCCTCATGAATGGAGTTAAGCTTGTACTAGGTCCTGCCTTTTTTGGTGGGTAGTGACGACTCGCTTTTAGCTCTGGACCGGCTGGGTGTTCTGACTGATGGGACGGTTAACTGAACTTTAGGTTCCTCATCTTCACCAATCGGCATAGTAGGCTCGAGTAGGAGCCTAAACTTACACTGACGGGACAAGAATAGTGACGTGGAAGCTGTCGCTGTTTAATGCGTCTCGGCTTAACGATTTGGAAGCTGGTCAGAGAACCATTCCACGGATCAATATAACACAAATATAATTTGGATGGAATGTGAAATGGGTGTATGTCTTGGAGAATATATGACTGCACCAGAAGGAATGGATGCGGAACTCGTGGAATCGGATCGCTGTGAAGGACTAACTTTATTTTTGGATGAAATTTACTATTATATATTTATTTTATTTTTTATTTCTAATTTTGGAAAGCTTATCGAATTTATTGCTACGTCCCAAATGCAATGCAGTGTGAACGGCCTATTATGCGATGCGTTGCAGTACGGAATGCCCTGAACACCCTGTGTGACGGCACACACACCAATATGCAATGTAAATGAGAGAAAAACAACCACCCAATAATTAAAATAAAACTACTGAAATATCAGTTATGTAGATATTTATTGGGTTGTGGTTTTTATTCGGGATGCCGCGGAGATCAGGAACCCAAAAAAACGGTTGCCGCCACCCTTAGATTCGCCCGTCCGAAAAGTATGCCAAGTAGGTGGTTCTGCAGCAGTGTTCGTAAGCCGGGTTTGTTATTGTTTTGTGTGTTTTAGTTTAAAATAATGCTGGTACAACTGGATTTTGGATGCTGCAAAGTGTTTTAGTTTAAAGACCAATGTGAAAAAATGGGTATTTGCACGGTGTATGGACTCTGAGTGTATATGGGTATGCGTATGGATATGTGTGATTTTATTTAATTTTTTTGTGTTTTAATTGGTTTGGAGTTGCAAAGGAGATAAATAAATATAAATATTTTCTTAGACCTTAACGGTGGAGCGGGGTTGTGTGGAAAAAAAATATATATATATATTGCTACCGAAAAAAAACTTTGGAACTACTTAGCTTGCGGAGAACGACGAAAATAAATCCGGCTTCGATTGGATAAAATGTTGGGGCGGGTCCGTGCCAAGAAAAAATTCCAGAGTTTTTCCCAACGAAATATATGCAAATGCGGGGTTGTGTGGAGCTTCGTTTTCACTTGTGATTCATTTCACCTTTTATTTCGTAATGACTTCAATATATATCGTAAGCTTAGTCTAAGAGGCCACCGATTCGGTTGCCAGTGATGCCGAACCAGCGATCTTTCTTCTTGTTCGACATGAACAACATTTAATTACTCCCTTTGCTGTAACGATTACAGCTCCTATTTTTTTAAAGGTTAAAGCCGACCAGCAAATCTGAGTCCAGGCCTTCTATTTCATAAAAAGTATATCGCGTATCAAAAATAGTTATCATGTGATAGTATTTTATTATTGAATATCCATTCCCTGTGGATACTCTTTTATATATGGGAAGCTCATTTTTATTTTTAAAAATTCCTGTTCTAATATAACAAGCGGTTGCTCCAGTGTCAATTAATATTTTTAATTTTTTATTTATTTTTTTTGTCATTTCTAATTAAGTAGGGTAAGCCTACTCCTGACCTTTGTCTAAAAAATGGTCCTCCTCAATATTATTTAATCTCATGGTCTTGTTAGCCGGTTGGTTAACAGTTCCAGTTTGTAACCTTTTATTTTGGACTTGGCCTTGCGGAGTGTTCTGGTTATTATATTTATTATAGGTTTGATTGAATCCGTTATTAGGCCTGTTCTGAATCTGTATAGACCCGTCTATTTCCATTGGTTCTGGCTTATTTTGTGGCTGTCTATAAGTATTCCACTGATTTTGTTGATTATTATTAAATTTACCCTGGTTCCAAGAAATATTTGTATTCTGATTATTTTAACCATAATTATTTCTGTTCTAATTGTTGTCTTGATTGAACCTTAGATTATTATTGTTCCGCTGAATATTATAATTATTGTTTTGTTGTATTGGCTTTTGATTGAAATATGTTTGTACATTACCACCAGAGTTTGGCTCACTATGTTTTTTCTGAGTAGTTGAGAAACTATTTGCGAAATGAACTCTCATGTTGTTGCTTTCTAATTCCTGAACTATGACCATTGCCTTTGGTAGGTCAGGTGGATTCATTGCGAAAATGGTATCTGAAATTTGGCCGTTGAGGCCGGTGATGAAAACTCTAAGAGCTGTCTTCCTATGTTTTTCATTAATTTCCGCTGTGATTGGTTTGTTTCTACCGTAGGTCAAATAGTTTTGTTAATTAGTAGAGTTAATTTTCTATTAACTGTGCCATAATAATCCATTATGGATAATTTTCCTTGACTCAATACACTTAGTTCCTGTTCGATAATATGAATTGGACGTTTGTCGCTAAAGACAAAGTCAAGTCTGGCCATTATGGCATCGAAATTTAACACCGTACCATTACGGGTTAAGGCATCGTTTGCCATTCCTGTTATTTTATTTCTTAATATAGATAAGGCAGAATAAAACCTTTCCCTCCCTATGGCATACTGACCCATGGCTATTTCAGCTGATTCTCTCCAGCTTACATATTTATCTTCTTCACCTTTATATTCCCTAACAGATTTGATGATCTCATAAGATGTTTCGCACTTAATATTTGGATCTACAATCTCTATCTGATAATCTTCAATCGTCTTTATTTTATGAGAAAGCCGCGATCTTAAATTCACGATCTCCTCCTTTAATGGATTTAATTCAAAATTAACAATTTGTTTTATTAAATCTCCTACATTTAGCATTGTATTGTTTTTAACCGCCGGATAGTATTTTCTTGAGGCGTATTCATGTGGAGTCTTTTATTTACTCCAGCCTGACTGGTTGAAGGTTCCGACATTTTGAGAACTTTTTTTGAAATCAGAAATTAAGTCTTCCACTTTGTTTTCTAATTTCGTCCTCCTTATTTTTCTTATCGTTGCTTGCTGATCCTGTTGGGGTCGTCCTTCTCTTTTTTGTTGATCCTGCTTGGGGTCGTCCTTCTTTATTGGTTTTGTAACTTTGGGTCTTCCTTCCTTTTTAATGATTATTTTTGGCGAGGGATTGCCCTTCAGCCTGTTTTCTTTGAATGTTTTTTTTTTTTTTTGTATGATGGCTTTGATGATTTTTTTGTAAATATTTTTAAATTAAATTGTTTTTCCGGTGATGATTTTTTTGTCACTTTTTATTTTTTATAATGTCTGAGCAGTGAATTTCTTGTTACGATCACTATTTTGTAATTTGAGATTTAAGGAGATTTTTTCATTAATTATTTTCTACCTTAGTTTTTTTGATCAACACAAACTTTTTTATTGTTGGCCGGTTGTATCGATTTTAAGGGGATTATTGCGTTTATTAATTTCCACCTTATTTTTTGATCAACACAAGCTTTATATTTCGTCGGTTGTTTCGGGTTTTTGGACGCGCTAAATTCCTTTTTTACTTTAAAACTTTTTAACTTTTATTTTAAAGCTTTGTTTAAGAATTCTTTTAATCGAACGGGCCCACGTTGTGCGCCAATTAACTTTCTCACTAGTGAATTAGTTAAAAAAATGTATTTTTATTTTTTATTATCACTTATTCACTATTAAAATTTTTCAATAGGTCAAACTTATTTAATTCAATGCTCTTTTACTTTCACTTGATTATTCTTTGGTGCTCGGTTCGGATCTCAAAAACGGACTGGACTCCTCGAGTTCAATGATTAATAATCAAACCTCGTCTCAAAAAATTGATAAAGAGAATGACTCAAGAGAGTCGGAAAATAGGATGATGCAATTTGCCAATTAAATTTGAAATCTAAATTTGGCCGAAAATTGGTGTTTACATTAGCGGACTTTAGGGATCGCTTTGGAAATCTTTTGTTTGCGCTAGCGGACTCAGGGCTCGCTTTGAGGCTCCGATGTTTACAATATCGGCTTGGATGTTTACAGCATCCGTTTGATGCGGACTGCGTGAAATTAATCTGGGTAGGAATAATTTAGAGGCGTAATTGACAGAAATAGGTGACCACGGATTTATCTCGGGTCTTGTCAGAGTTAATTGGAAATTGGCTCTCGGCTCAAAGTTGTTTATAAATTGGGTAAGTAATGTGTCATATAACTTGCACACTACAATAGTCATTAATTAATTAATTTTTGTTTTTTTGCGGATTTCCTGATTTTTTTGAGATCGAAAATATTTCCCAACCCCCAAAAAATAAATAATCACAATTAAATTATTTGGCAATCAATAACAAAGGTAATAATTAAAATAAACCAAAAAAATCAGAAGTCGACAGGGGGAGTAACAAGTTAAAAAAATACATTTTCAACGATTTCTAAATATTTGTGCCGATTATTCTTTTTTTACGGAACTGTGCCGTCTACTCCGCACAAATTAACAGTGTGCCCGTTCTCTGTGTTATTTTCCATTTGTGGTAGCGTTTTAAGTTCTGTTTTCATACTAAAAAGAAATAAAATTGAACAATTCAAAATTCAATTCAGCTACGCCGAATAGCTCCTCCTGTAGCAGCATTCGACTTGGGTTTTTTTTCTCGTTTGTTCATTTGCAGCGACGACCAACTCGCTGCCGACTCAGATCGCACGGAGGGCTTAGCTGTGAATATCCTCACGTTCCGAACGAAACGCTCCTTGCTCAGGTCAGTCGAGAATGCCCATCTACCCGTTTGGACAGGTCCCAATCCGCGTCTCCGTGACCGTTTCAATTAACGCCAAAAGCGACGACAAAAAGTTTATTTAACAGACCGGGTCAGCCAATATCAAGCGGATATTCATACTCCGAGCGCCGTTGAAC